ATCCAAAGTTTCACATTCTAGTGCTACTTTAAGTCACTCTGCCAATTCTGCTTTCTTCCCTGTCATCTCCAGATCACGATCGTCTAGTTCTCGACACAATTCAGACACTTTTAATCACTTAGTTTTTTAGCTATTTTTGTCCACTATTTATTTACAGTTCCACTTGAAACACCAATGTAACGCGTATTTAATTTATTTATAGTTTATTTAAAACACTTTAATTATAATTTATTTATAACATACTAATTCATTTATATAATACTATTATAACACTATTATAACTTACAATTCTAATTTATTTATTAATTACAATTTGTTTTAACTAACACTTAATTTGAAACATCGTCAATCGACAAACTCGCCCTATTTATATAGAACCAGCTCTGTACCAGAACACTCTAGTCGACCCAGAACGTTCAGGAACTCTCTCTATGACTCATACGCCGCAAAGCGATCACTCCGGTAGCTTCTCGAAGCAGTGCGTTTGTCTCTATAGATAGATAGATAAATTTATTGATCTTTTTGTATCATTTACATGACATAAGACAAGTCACAAACATAGTATACTCATAAGGTACAATAAGTTGATTAATAATAAGCTAAAAAATTATCTTGATAAAAACATTAATGGTTATCAAACATTTAGTACAAAATAAAATTACAAAAAAAAAATACAGAATAAAATTACGAGACTGATAAATTATTATTAAAATGTAAAGTGTACAAAATACAGAAATTAGGTGTCATTCCAGCCAGTAAATTCGTCTAGAAAATAAAAACAATTTTGAGTTAAAAACAACTTTAAACTGGTCTTGAATTTGTTAAAATATCTTATTTCTTTTATTGAGTCTGGTAGAACATTAAAAAACTGTCCTCCGGCATACATTGGAGACTTTTTTAGTTGAAATCGATTGAATCTGTTTAGGTGGATATCCCTTTTATTTCTCGTGTTATAATTATGGACTTCACTATTTTTTTGAAACTTATTTTTATTAAGAAAAGTGTAAGTTAATAGTTTGAAAAGATAGATGCATGTGCAGGTCATAATTTTATTTTTTTAAAAAGTATCTCTACAAGATTCGTTGTAATCTAAGTTAAAAATTAGGCGAATAAATCGCTTTTGAAGGACGAATATTCGCCCAATTTCCGTTGCTCGTCCCCACACAATTATATTGCAGCTGATGGCAGAGTATATAAATGCATAATACAAGTTAAGTAGGTGAGATTGATAAAAATTTGATTTTAAACTATTGAAAGCAAAGTAGAGTTTAAGTTTTTTACAGAGAGAGTCAATTTGATGGTTAAAATTTAGTTTGGAATCTAATTCCATTCCAAGAAATTTAGTGTGTTCCACAGTCTCAAACTTGCTATTATTTAATGTAAAGATTATGTTGTTGCCTGCCGTAAGTGGAGATGTGAATTGGATAAATATGGTTTTATTTTTATTGATGATTTTTTTGACACCAATGAATGAACTCATTCATGTGGTAACTGTCAGCTACAATTACAATTGTTGTGTCGTCCGCATATATAAAAACCCGACCATTTGTTATATTTAAGGGCAGGTCATTTATGTAGAGGAGAAATAAAAGTGGTCCTAATACTCCCCCTTGCGGAGTTCCAATAAAAGTACTAAACTCATCAGATAACTCATCATCAATCTGCACTTTGAGTGTTCTGTCAGACATATACGAGTTAATCCAAGATTGAATTGTACCTCTAATGCCCATTGCTTGAAGTTTTATTGCTAAGTAGGTGGGATTAATCGTGTCAAATGTACGGGTTAGGTCGAAAAATATTCCCACTAAATAGTTGTTCTGATCGATATTTTCATGGACATATTGTACAAGCTCAATTGAAGCAGTTTCGATTGAATAATTCTGACGAAAACCATGTTGGGATTGCGTGATTATATTATTATGGTCTAAATATTCAATTAACCGTTTGTAAACGGCCGATTCAATAATTTTTGAGAAACAGCTAAGTATACATATCATTCTGTAATTCTCGACACATTGAGGATCATCTTTTTTGAATAAAGGAATCGTTTTATTTATTTTTAGTTTTTTTTGGGAACTGGCCTTGAGTAACAGATAAATTGGTAATGTAAGATAGTTGGACTGAGATTGTTTCTACACATTCTTTCAATACAATAGCTGGTATTTCATCAATACCAGCAGAGTATTTCTTTTTAAGTGTTAGAATTATCTGACTTATATGACCAGTGCTAGACTTCATACCGCGGGTAAGGTAGTTAACAAAGAACAGAGACGGCTTCGCGTCACAATAACTTAAAATATTTTGTAAATATTCCTGATTTAATCTTAAATATAAATAGCAGGAAATAGAACAGCAAATATTTTTAACAGGCAACCACTAAAGCACATTTAATATGGAATTGATCGATTCCAATCTCGAACAGTTCTGCATTATCCTCATTCTGCAACTTTTGCAATTGTTGCAACTCATTCTGGTTGAGCAAATACAATATAGTCACACAATAATTAAAATGAGGTAATATAAGAGTATTATAAATTATTATTTTAGCCCATTTGCTGAAACAACAAGAACAGCGCCTCAAATAGTTGATTTTAAATGATATGCTTTTAATGACGTTATTAGAATGTTCCTTAAATTTGTATAAACCATAATCCTTAGATATTTTTTCGACTCTCTGAAACTTTACTCCGTCATTGGAAACATGCTTCATGTAATTTTCTTAAATTTCCAGTACTTCCACTTAACATCCATTTTGATTTTTCGTAATTTATTTTTAACGAGTTTGCGTTACAATAATCATTTATTTTGACAACTAATTTCTTTAAGACAAGTTTCAATGTTTTCATGGTAGAATATATTAGGGAATCATCCGTAAATAAGTTAATTGAGCATCTTTCAACTATACGTCAGCAATGTCATTAATATAAATTAAAAACAGTAGCGGATCCAGAACACTACCCTGTGGCACCCTCATATTCTCTATAGTATCCGAAACACAATTACCTTAACTTTATATTTCCTATTTTTCATTATAATGTTCCAACCAGTCCAGTGCACAACTCCCAAACCAATAGCTCTTAATTCCATTAATAATCTACCCCTATTAATAGTCTCAAATGACCTCTGTAAATCTAAAAACACCCCCAGATTGTAACAAAATTATTTTCGATCGACAACTTCCAGTTATGCAACACCATCTGTAAAGCAGTTTCACAGTTGTGTTTACTACGGAATCCTGATTGCACATTATTTATCAATCTGTTCCCCGTAATCAATTTGTAGATATATTACTTTTTCGATTAGTTTTTCAATAGCACTGATCAAATTTATCAGTCTTAAACGGTTAGCCTTACTTGAATTCGAAATTTTTGGTATCGGACTTATCATAGCAATCTTAATATCGTCCGGAACTAAGATGTTTCAATAGAATTATGTATAAAATGTACGTAATAGAGGTTGGGATAAACTCTCAAAACATTCTTTTAATTAAATTGAGGTTATTTCGCCTGGACTATTTTTATTTGACATTGAAAATATTATTTCTTTCAATTCATTATAATTAATTAGTTTAAAATTTACAAAAGTTTTAATTTCACTTAGATGAGATAATCTAATAATTTTAAACATTTGGAAAAGTAAGATCCTGCTGATTGTCACAAAGCTTGTCGAATTAAGTATTAGTATCATTGCTTGCGATATTAGCTTAGATTTCAAAGTTTTCCATATCTCAGTAGGGTGATCCTTATTTAACTCTATTTTGGTTTTAAAGTATTTGCTTTTTTCATGTTTAATTACATTGACTGTTTTGTTCCTATTACATTTATATATTTGCTTTCTTCTGATTTGTTAGTAATAAATGTTTTATGACTTTTATTTCTCACACTAGTAGATCGAATCAACCTAGGAATATGCACTTCTCAGGTGAACATTATTTCTAAAATGCTCTATTTTGGCTTTAAGTTCTGGTAATAGCCATTGTTGCTGGTTCTTTAATATCGATTCACTGTTTCAATGACATTAAGGTCAGGACTATTGGAAGGAGAAGAAATAAAAATGTAATTTTTGATAACATTTAACTTCACAATACTTGGTAGTAGGCTTCTTTCGTTTGGCTGCATTTACCTTACCATCAATAAATTCAAAAAAGTCTAATCATGAAGCTGAAATTTATATTGCCCCAATATACAGAGTGTTTCCAAAGTAATCTGAAATATTGTTGTGGGAGATTCGTCATTCAATTTTAAGACGAAAAGCTCCTATTGCCATGTGTAACAGGTTTTGTCATTTATGAGATACAGGGTGTTGACTTTTTTTTATTAATTTAATAGATGCAATACATTGTGATAAACATAAAGTAGTATTAAATTTCATAGCAGTTGTTCAAAATGTGCACCTCCAGCTAAAATACAATGGATTTCCGAATACGTTTGAAGAGGCCAGGACTGTTGCACATAACATTACAGCCTTTCTTAACGTCACTAAGGAAAATTTATGGTAACTTTCACTTACAGTCAGAGCTCTTATATTACAAAAAAGTCAACACCCTGTATCTCATAAACGGAACTTTTCGTCTTAAAATTGAACGACGAATCGCCCACAACAATCTTTCAGATTACTTTGAAAACACCCTGTATAGTTAGGACCCATAATTTTTGATAATTCATTTAAGTCAGCATCAGTTTACGATACAGAGATCCTTAGAATATTTTGCAAATTATCGTCGGTCAACATCTTGTCTTGTACTTCCACTTGATAACATTAATAACCTCTAATCCCACACAACGTGACAAACGAACTACTACAAGATATTTGGCTCAGTGCGTCCTTGAACGAAAATCGAAGTTTGGGTATAACAGCTCTAGAGTTACAGGTGATTCCATCGTTTTCAAGATCCTAACCTAATAATTCGTTACTACTTGTCTGGCGGCATGGGACCCGTATTTGCTGACATCTGATTTAGAGATTACATTAATTAATTAATTAAATCATTTTGTTTTTAGATTATTGCAGCTGGAGCGTTTTATCCAAATTACTACATAAGGGAACCGAGCAGCGATCTTGATGAAAAAGAAGCAGTTAAAGTTGTAGGTGGCCGAAATCCTTTTCTCTGCGTATATTTAACGGGCATGGATCTTTCCCAACCAGGTCCATTGTACATTAGAGCCATCAAGGCACTCTTTAGAAATGAAAATGAAGCGGAAAGTAACATATCTGTAGGGTTTGACGGAAGCAGCAAAGTTTATATTGAATTTAAAAACTACAACAAGGCACATGAGCAGCTCACAGTATCTGTCGATGGAAGGCAGATGATAGCTGATACTATTGCGGGAAAAATTCCGAAAGAAGTATATGAAGCAGTTAGGAAAAGGCAGTTGCGTTATCCCATGGAATTAAAAGTATTGCCGTAAGTATTTTCAACTTTGTTATTTTTAGTTTAACATGATAAACAAAATATGTACTATATGCTAGAATGGTGTTAAAACAGTACGTCTCTTTTAGTGCACTCGAAGCCTGGAAATGGGCAGAAGAGAAAGGATTTAAAAGAAAAAGTACTTTGCAGAAAATGGAAGATTATCCTGTTCCGAGTATATCAAATGCAAATAACTGGGTGGATATGTGTTCTCCTATTCCCTCTTTGGATAGAGAGTGGATTGAAATTAAAATTACAGAGGTACGCCTTTGTTTGTTAAAAGTATTTGTTTCTCCTCTTATTTCTTAAGTACATACATAATCTATATTCACAGTCAGTGACCAACGTTAACATGTTGGGTGCCAATATTTTTGATTGAATTTTTTTAACTGCATTCACTTTCTGTGTCTACCTATTATAAATATTTTTTCAAGTCATTCAATCTGTAATAATTAATTATTAATAATATAAATAGCCATGCCTCCCCATATAAAACTCTGTTTTTTGAGGTCCATTCAAAAGCGTTTAAATTGAAGGCACATCATTATTCTTTCCATTTACTTTATTTCTCTGTATCTGTAACGTGTGGAGAGTGGGTTACCCCCACGGCACTTAGACCTCATTGGGCCCATTGTGTATCCTCCTGAGATGATAGGCACCTCCTAGCTCATGAGCCAGCCTACAGATTTTATGTAGTTGACAACGTCGCCAAGAGGTGCTTCTCTTATATCGGCCGGTGTTAGCCGATACTCACCGAACACAAATCTTCTAATAAATGAGAGCACCCTCTGTAGAGTGCGGATTCTGACAGTCCCATGATAATCAGATGCTTTCGTACTTGGCAATGACCAGTCAGAATGCCTGTGACTAGGCGCAGATTCTGTCTAGTCATAGTCGAGTATTTGTTTGCTGCAGTGTTGTCAGGATAACTTAAGAGCTCCCTGGCAACTCTGCAGTTTCTTGTTTCATCCCATCTTTCCTTGAAATTTCTCTCCCATATTTGGAGCCATTTTGCGTTTAATCCAGGCCGTAGTCCGCTGATATATTTTAAATTATTTTGTTGTATGGACGCAATGTTTCTTATTCTAGAAGGAACCGGCGCATGAGTGTTAAAAACTATTCTCACGTAATTTTTTTTGTCAAAATTCTTTAAAAATATGTCAAATTTTATGTATATGAAGTTTACCATTGGACAATGTGGTCCAAATCGAAATTGTTTAAACAATTCCTAAAAAATGTTATTTTTAAATACAAATAAAAAAAGGTTTAAAATTTTTTTTTGATAAAGTTAATATTTTAGAACATGATTTTGTAAAGTTTAAAATTCACTATTTTAATGGTTATAAATCTATAAAAATAACCGATATGATATTAAACAATTGTTTTTTATATTCTTTGTAATGCTGTTAACAATGAAAATTTTCATCATTAAAGACTATTTTTTAGTGTATTAGGCGCGATACAAATTATTATTTATCATATATCTGAGTATAAGAGAGACATCAATACTTCAAATAATCGAAAAACAGTACTTAATAATAAAAATTTTCGTATTTGTCATAGCGGAGTTTGTTACCTACATTATAAAGAAAATTGTTTTAATATCATATCAGTTCTTATAGATTTATAAGCCGACAAAATTCGTCAAAATCGTGATTTTGAAACTTTCATCTTCCAAATTATTTACTTAAAAAAAATAAGTATGGCATATAAATAAAATAATTGAATTTTTTTAAACAATTTCATTTTAAACAAAATAGGACCACATTCCATTTTTTTTTTAACATGGGTCTTCTCATAAAATGTAATGTTTTTGAGTTTTCCTGAAAATTTTTCTATTAAAATAAAATGGCTGACCTTCCTAAAAAAACTTTTTTTTTTTTTTATTAAAATAAACATCGGCTTTTCCTTTTTAATTCTGTATTTTCTTTTAAATTCTTATATAGAAATTAAAAATTTATTGTAACCTACAAAAAGTGTGTTCCTTTTTAAAAATTTGTTGCTAACAAAAAAATTTTTTTATATAATATTATTTTTACACTCATTATTGTTCGAAATACAAGTTTTTTTACAATTCTAAGGTCAGCCAATGTTTTTTTTTTTTTTTTTAATGAAAAATGTCCCATAATTTTCTGAAAAACTTCAAAATCAATATTAGAACGTTGCGTAATTTTCAATTTAAATAGAATGTTGCATTAAAAACAACCTAACTTTGATATGACATTTTACTGGAGCAACCTGTATAATTGAAAGTATTTTTAAATTGTTGCTAACTTACTTAGACAGTCCTATAGGTTTTGAGAAAAACGCAAAAAACTAAATTTTTACACAATAGTTTTTTGGGACGCATTCCTATCAATATATTAACATTTTATAGAAAAAAAGGACTGTATTCGTCCGGGTGCTTGGACAAATAGCAGATTGCGTTAAATGTCCGGGCATAAAATAACACTCGGACGACGGGTGCAGAAAATATTTTCAACCGGGCGCTAGAAATCCAGGAGCCTTAATACAATATTAAGTATAAGTTATAATAATAATAAGTATACGTTATTCATGAGCTCCAATAAAAATAGTTCTCGCATCTTCCGTAAACATTATTTTATTTAATTTTCCAAAAAATACTTTTAATTTAATTTATAATTCATATTTTGCAGCACATTGATGCAGGGCATTTTTGGGCAAATCTTTTGGATAGTGAAATATATTTGGCCAAATTAGAAGAAATTCTTAACAAAACTGTACTTCATGCAGTCGTTGCATCAAATAACACTGTCAAGCTGGGTAAAATGTATGCTGCTAAATATTTTGAGGATAATATATTTTATCGTTGTCAAATCGTATCAGTGAATCCAAATTTTGCCCAGGTAAGCGCAATTATATTGTAATAAAATATTTTTAGAACATAAAAATAATGTATGCTCCTTCTCATAGGTTATCATTAAAACTTTAGATTTTAGTTGAAAATTACATACATTTTTAATTATTTTAGTTTAATAGGTGGTTCGGTTGCTTTTTTAGGTAATTTTTGTGGACTATGGTAACATTCAGCAAGTTCCTATAAATGAAGTGTATATATTACCTAATAGACCTGAATGTCAAATTCCACCCTTAGGAATTGAGTGCGTTCTTTATGGTATACAACCATCAAGAAAAGCTAACCCTAAAGGTGTTTGGACAGAAGAGAGCAATTTGTATTGGAAAAAACAGACATGTAATGTACTTCTTCATGGTAAAGTGAGTATTCATATTTATTTGGCTACCTCTTTCTTGGTCACATTTGCAGTATTTGTAATTAAATACCAATTAAAAAGTGTGCATAGATTAAAATGACACATACATTTTAGAATATTTTTATATAAGGCTATTCAGGATTACAATTATGTTTTAAATACTAACCTGTAGTTATATGCCGGGGGTTCAGAGACAAAACCTGATAAGCCGACAAAAAGATACCTTAGACCAGGCCTGCACAACTCTGATTTTCAAAGGGCCAGATTTGAAAAACCGTAACTGTAGTAGGGCCGCCAAGAGAGACCTGAGCCTACACTAGTGGGTCCAGTTTTCTAAAAAAAGGTCGTCAACCTAAATGCAAGTTTGTTACTGAAAAATGTATAATTTGACGTAGGCGGGCCGAAATAGTCAACGGCCGGCAGGCCGCCAAAACGTCACTGGCGGGCCACATCCTGCCCGCGGGCCGTATGTTGTGCACTCCTGCCTTAGACTCGCGCCGCGTCTGTTTCAATGATCGATCAAATCAATCTTATAAACATACATATCATAAGGGAGACGACTATTCAGCTGGCGAACTATATACATATTTACAAATGTTAAAATTTCCTATAGGTGGTTAATGTCTATACATATTTTTATATCTTTTTAATTTCATAAAAGCTGAGAAAAGAGCCAGAAAGTAAGTTTACTCTAGGTATTTAAGCAAATGTAAGTATTTGACCAAAAACAAAAAATAATGAATTAGGTATTTGAGTGTTGTGTTATAAAAACATATTTTATTATGTATTCCTGATTCATTATAAAAAATATCTTTGTAATAAATCCCATAAAAAACAATATATTTGTTGATACTTTCGAAATTTCTTTTAAAATACGGAAAAACTAGTTTAGATATAGTTACATGCACCTTTTGTCAAAAGAAGATTAGAAGAAGTTTTATCACAGGTTATGATGGCAACAGTAGAACAGAAGATGCAGCAAATTCCAGAAAACAACAAAATTAGTTAAAGTGTTGGATCCAGAGAAAACAGGAGATGTAACTACTAACAAATATCGTGCGGTCCTGAATAAGACATATTCTAAGGGACACAGTAGGGTATAATATCCGCTGTTGTCATATGCCAATTTCATTATTCTCATTTTGTTTACAAAATTATTTACATATATTTTATTGCAACTGAACCCAAAAAATTTTGAATCATTAGTCATATTAAATTTAACCAAATTAAATGTAATTTGACTAAATTAGATGTAATAATTTTCAATAAATTCCAAAACCTAGTCAAGTTAGGTTGGAAGTGGCAACAGGGATTACACCGGCATGGATATTTACGTTGTCTATTATAAGCGCACAGCGCCTTACACATTTATTTATTGATAAAAAAGTTGATAAAAAAAGTTGTATCTGCGTAAAATTCTTCTCTTTATCCCCTCTCTTACTTATCACTTTTCGTCTGCTCGCCCCGTCCGTACAAATACAGTGTATTGATTGTCGGAATTAATCTTGGCATCGTGAATGTTATATTTTTTCAATGACTGGTTATATCTCTGTTATCTCTGGTTGGATCAAAAGACCTCATTGCATTAGGAGAAAAATTGTTTTACGCTAAGTAAAAAATATGTGACTTTACGAACGGGTTTTGAAAACAAAAAGATTTTGGACGTTTCCACAATTTATCAAAAATATATATTTAAAATATGGCATATTTAAATCCAAAAGGAAGAAAAATGTAATCTAAATTTACTGGTCGAATTGAGTTCATTAAAAGCAAGCAGAAAAAGAAATATCTTCTGATATAAGATGAAACGATTCATGCATTTGTAGACAAAGCGGCAAATGGTAACTATATAGGTATCTCAAAGGTCAGATTTTTCAAAAATATTTAAAATATGTTCTTATGTTACTGTGGGTCTTCTTATGAAATAATTTTTTTGAAAGCAAAATAATTTGTAAAATGTTTTACTAAAAACTAAGAAAAAATAGATTCCGAAAATGTAAATGAAATGTCTTTAATTTCACCAGAAGTCAGAAAACCAAAAATATTGTGTTTGGCGGCATATGAGTCTCCCTTAAATTAGTCAAAGGAAAAAACAAAATCGTATTCGGAGCCATTATTCAATGCCTAGCAGTACTAGCCAATATATATCAAGGAATAAATATAGAAAATTATTCGAAACTACCAGCGTTATTAAAGGTATTTAACAAAAAAAAGCTAGTACTATCCGACGAAAATGTTATTGATTTTTTTACTAAAGCATCAGGTGACAAATACCTTGCAGCAAAGGGTAGCCTGTTGATTAAGGTTCATATATTACAATTAGGTATTTATTTTTTTAAGTTGCATTCATAATGAGAATAATGGACGCTTGTCGGACTAATGAGATGTTTTGCATGAAAATTAGTGATTTACAAGACCTTGGATCAGCTTTTTTAGTAAATCTGCACAAAACCATGACAAAAATAACTTTAAAATTTATAATTACCGATAATTTTTAAAAAATATGTAAAAAATCCAACACTACTATTTTTAAACTATCAGAACGGTAAATACACTGCCCAAAGAATTGGTATTAATAAATGTACCAAAATGAATAAAGATATTGCCGCTTTTTTTAAAAACATTTTAAATTTTTATACATAGGTAGTCTTAAGGGGCAATGGGTGCTAATAATTTTACTTAGATAGGTCTAAGGGACAAAGAAAACGTATTTCTACAAGAGCAGGCTAAAGGGGTAAAGGGATCATATAATTTTACATGAACAGATTTAAAAGGGACCAAATATTTTTAGATAAATACGTTTAATACATCCTTGACCGGTGATGCGTTTAAGCAACGCCTTAAATTATAATTTTTGAAAGTATCTTTATTATAATATATTTATGACTTAATATATATTTTTTCAATACATTAACAATACCACTAACTAAAAATTATCGAAATTTACCTTGTTGGACAAATAATTTTCAAATAGTCATAGCTTTTTTTTAACAAATTTAAAATATTTTATTCTATTCCTTACTTAATAAAATGATAAACATTAAGGTTCTCAAACAAATTTTGAATTAATAAGAACCACAATATATAGCTAATCAAGTTCAAAGTTAGGTGTTACGTAAACGCATCACCGGTCAAATAGTAGTTCAGTCCAGAAATAAATTTTTAAGTACAGTCTTGCATACATTTTATTTAGGTATCCTTATTAATCATTGGAATTCAAAAATTTTCTGTACTTTAGTGATTGGTGTACCAACGGGATGCTGAGAGGGGTACATTTTATAACTCCGCCCACGTCTTACGTGTGTACATACATTTTCGAAAAAAAAAACAGTAAAATATATAATAGACAAGAAAAAAAGATTGTTTAAGTACCACAACCAAATGTCGTTGCTAAGTATAATATAAACAAGGGCGGTGTTGACCTTCATGATAATGGAGTAGCCAATTATAGAATAAATATAAAAGGTGGTGGTCCTTATTCAAAAACACAATCTACATTATAGTAAATTTATGGAAATTTTATAACATTACACACGATAAAAAAATGTCGCAGGTAGACTTTATATATATATATATATATATATACATCTCTGTATCATTGAAGCGTCCCGATAAAGATGCGCTTTAAAGCGCCCATGTCTGTTTACCCTTGATCTACTTATTTTAGACATATATACTCGTTGCTGTTCGAAGAAGCAGCTTAAATTAGGCGGATAACATTAAATTGAAAGGAAAACACAAATCGTTACTTTTACTTTATCGACACCTGGGCGTCATTTCAATTGATACACATTGCAGCGTCACCAATATTCAAATTTACGTATATTTGACCGCTTTTGTGGCGTCAATTAGCGCTTTGCGGTGTTGTCATATATTTAAATGATAGGCAGTTTAAGTTTTTGTTTAACTGTGTTAAAGATATATTTTGATACATAACGATAGACCTGCAGAGCGTTAATTTATCATTTCGGTAGCGCAGAGAGTGCGACAGAAAGTGAATAATTTAGTTATGCAATATTGATTGTAATTTAATTCTGATTGTTTTTAATTCTGATTGTTTTTAATTATTATTATTATTATTGTTTTTTTCTAAGAATAATATTTCATTAAAAGTTATTGACGTTGCAAAATTTTGCCAGCGTTTTCATGCAGAATTCTGTGGTGTAGAATTGATAAATAAAAATTATGCCTTAGTAACAGTGTACAGATCCTCCTCCCATGGGGACATATCAATATTCAAAATGTATTTTCTAAATTTAATTAATTATTTATATAAAAAATTTAAAAACCTAATTTTTATCGGTGATTTTAATGTTGATTTTAATAGTTTAAATGAGCATTCGCTTGATTTAATTAATATATTAAATATGTATGGTATGAAACATTACATCACAGTTCCAACTAGAATAACTCCCACTTCTAAATCATGTGTGGACAATATTATTACCAATATAAATCCGGAAGTTATAATATCAAAAGTCATTGATGCCGACATAGCCGATCATTTGACTTTATTTTTGGAGATAAAAGACTTTAATATTTTAAGTGATACCAGTTATGTCAACAAAAGATTTATTAATGAACGTACAATTTTACAGTTCTCAGAAAAGTTATCTGAAATTAGTTGGCATGGACTAGAAATTGGAAATTACTGCTCCCAGGAGATTTGTAATATAATATTTATTATTCTATGTCCTATTGTAGATCTATGCTTTCCCATAAAAAAAATTCGCAGTGGTGACAAAAAGATTTTGTGGTTTAATGAGGAACTGCGGGTACAGCGAAATCAAGTATTTCAAAACAAATCTAGATTCAAAAAAACCAATTCGTTAGAAGATTGAAGACTATATTCTGAATCGCGCAAAAACTATAGGAGTTCAATTAGATTAGAGAAACGTAACGCTTACAATAAAAGAATAGCTGCATCAGAAACTAATAATAAAACAATCTGGAATATTGTAAACGCAGAAAGAAAATCCAACAACAAATCATCCAGTACATCGA